GAGGAAGCCTTTTGAAAGCTCCAAAGGCAGGGAGGAAGGGCAGTAAATTCGAACTTCCCGCCCTTTCTCCCTGCCTTTTTGGTTTGTAACTTGATCTGCGTTCGCAAGTAGGGTCTGCTACTTGCCATGAGATCGGGTTTGTATCCCGAAACGTTCGCAACTAAACGGCTTGGGCCCTGGATACCTGAAGGACCGCCTCCTTCCATATGAACCTACCCGGCAGTTAAGATCTAGCCAGGGGGCCCTTTTGAAAGAGGCGTCCCTTAAGGAGGTAAGAGGGACGGCTTGTAGACAAAGGGCCTTTTCGGCAGCTGCCCCCAGACTATGGAATGCCCTCCCGACTGAGATTCATCTGGCGCCGACGCTGATGACATTTCGGCGCCAGGCCAAAACCTTCCTGTTCCAGAAGGCTTTTAATTGAAATAATATTAGCTGTCGGTCTGATGGCAATTTTAATTGTATTTTAATTGTATTTTAATTATTTTATCTTTTACTGTGTTGAATTTTGATTATTGTAAGCCGCCCAGAGACCTCTGGGTAGTGTGGGCGGCATATAAATTGAATAAATAAATAAAATAAATAAATAAACTAGGGCCGTTCGTAAGTCAAGGGCCCACTGTACTATTTGTTTTATCAAACATATAAGCAAAGAAACTGGAGAAACCACTGGAAAAGTGGTTCTCAACTTTCAATAATCCGACTGGAAAAGTGGTTCTCAACTTTCAATAACCCGGGTGTTCTTGGATTGCAATTCTCACAAGCCTTTATCACCAGCTGTGCTCACCAGGGTTTCTGGGAGTTGCAGTATAAGAACACTTTAGTTACCCAAGGTCACTATTCCAGAGCCTTGCCATGACACATGCATCCACAGAGAAGCAAAATGCAAAGCAATATGATGTCTCTGTCCTGCATATGGTAAAATCTGAACAACGTTTCAGTTAAATGTTTAATTTACTTATATCTTCATAAATGCATGTTTATGTCAAGTATGACTTCACAGGCCACCACAAATATGTACATAAGGAAGCCATCATTTTGATTTATGTGTTAGAGGTTAGTGTCATAATACAGAATTGTATCATTAATGCCAAGAAACAACTAAATTGCATTTCTGTTGGTATTGCTAGGAAAGGTAAGATTCATATTACTAAATTACTTATAGAGCTGTTTTTGATGTTAATAGGAAACATTGTTCATAAGATAACTGATACGGCAGTGTCTGCTAAACATTTAGTTCTGTTTTCAGATTTTAGCATATCAAGATGAACAGACTAGCCTGATATAAAACACAAACAAGACTCCCCGCAATGGAAGCAAAGCAGCAGTTCCTACGTTGGAAAGAATTATCTGTTACTAATATGTACAGAAGAGTGAGAGCCAATGGAAGCAAAGCAGCAGTTCCTACGTTCCTTACTAATATGTACAGAAGAGTGAGAGTGGTTGAAAGATTAGTACAGTCT